GAGAAGCTGAGGATTACACAAAAGACGAACCTTCATTTTCAAATGGTCCAACTACTCAAAGGAGAGAGAGATAAATGTCAACAAAGAGGAAAAGAAATAGAGAGACAAATTTCAAATGTTGCTATAATATAATGAAAATACATATAAAGAAACTATTCATAAATATTGATGAAAACTCTCTAAAAAGAGAAATAAATAACAGATTCTTTTCATGTTCAAATGAGAAGAGAACTGCTAATGAGCAGTCTGAGTGAACAGTGGTTCTTTCAGGGAGGAGTGAAAACATGAGTCCACTTTGAGAGTGAAAGTGATTTTTATTTATGGAATTTCTCATCAATATTCTTTCGTTCATCATGTTGTCTAGCATTTCCATGTACGATATTTGTTAAACTTTTCTTTATGAACGGTTGGTGAACAAACTCATAAATAATGCATGAAGTCTGAATGGAAATGTAGCACAAATGAAATATTAATGTAAAAATGTTATAACAAGTTGAAAACTGAAAAGAAATGAACAATACAAAAAATTATGGTAGGCAGAAACTACCCACATGAAATTGTAGAGAGTGGAAACTTATGCCACTATCTGGTAAATTCACTTGAACAAAAGGAAGAAGCTCCGGAATGGTCAATTAACTTACCGCTGCTCTTCTCCTAGCAAGTGTTTTGGCCATTTCATCCATCATGGAAGACATACTACCCCCTCCGCCCCTTCCGATAGTACCATAGTTACTGCTTCCACCGCTACTAGTTGATGATCCACTATTTTCGGCAGGTGGAGGTGTATTCTGCAATAATAAAAAAGAAGTTGATGATAAAATCAAATTACAAAGTTTGAAATAAACAGGTTTTGGAGGGATGCAAGATATTAATGGATTAATAATAGTTAATGGGTTATATGACATTGGTATTAGAGGGTTCCTTCTGAAATGGATAAAATCTTTCATGGAAGATAGGAAAATAATGCAGGATCTGATATTCAAGATATTATCCCTGGGGTACCACAGGGGTCCATTTTAGGCCCACTGCTTTTTTCTATCTATATAAATGATCTTCCGAAGTATATAAAACAAGGTGTCATTATCCTATTCGCAGATGACAATACCACAACAGTTTACGGAAATACTGTGGAAGAGCTAGAAAACAACATTAATTCAGTCATGGATGACATGATTTCTCGGTGTGATGGAAATCAACTAAGACTGAATGAAACTAAAACCGTACATTTATTTAGGCTTTGCGTTAAGGAAAACAGTGAAACTTAACAACATCCAACTCTCGGAAACAGACAAACTCCTTGATATGTTTATAGATAAAACATTGCCTTGGGAGCCCCATATCGATCATGTCTGCAAAAAATTGAATCAAGCAATATTTGCAATACGACAGATCAAAGACGTGCTTAGTTTAGATGGTGTCAAGATTGTTTAAAATTTTGCCAAAATATCGTCTAAAGAATTTTATATTCAATAAATATTTGATATATTCATTCTCAAATCTCAAGTGATCTTTTATAAAACTGAGTATTGTTTCAGAATATAGGCATGTGAGTATGTAAAATTGAAATGTGATGAAAAACAGGACAAAATTTCAGTCAAGTCACTAGTATTATTTTTCTAAAATCCTATTAATAATTGTATTTTCATTAAATAGAAAACGCTTTCCTTCTTACATCACTCATACAAAACCAATGAAAGTTTTGTGAACAGAAAACAGAATTTGTTGAATCAAATGATCATCATGTAGCAGAAATGGGTAATTAAGTTGAAATTGAAGGTTACTAAGCCTTTGATTATCACCATTTTTCACATATTTCAATGGCTTNAACTATTAGGGTTTTGTGACTCGAAGCCAGGGTCTCAATCTGCTTACACTCTAGGTCTCGGTGCTGGTCTCAATCTGCCTCACAGGCAACAAAAAAGCTGATGTGTATGATAGACACAGATCATCGGCTCTATATTTTGACCTCGAACAAGCTGAGACACAAAAATTTATAGTAAGGAACCATATCAGGAAATGTGTGAATCGGCTCACAATTATCACAGAATCACTCACTAGACATTGTCTATTTAGATAAATCTGAACAATATGCTTTATAAGGAAGACTTTAGCTAGAGACGAGTCAAGCACAGGGGCAGCTTGTGAATGTGTGGTACAACTGAAAAAATATTCAGATTGATCTGTTAACACATCCAAAAGGAGTTGTAAGAACCAGAAGAAGAGTATATTTATTTGAATCAAATCAAATCACTTTATTCATCCTGTAGAACTTACAAAGTTATAGGATAGGTCTAATAGCATTTGTACATATACATAAAATAATACTTAGAGTAAAATTAAACCAAACATACTTGAAAGATTGTCATATGCATACAAAACATATCAACTTCATTCAACTCCAGCTTCATTATATCATATTTGACGGGATTTATGTAAAAAGCAATGCACTTTCTTGTATTTACATTATGGTAAGATGAAAAGCGATCATATTTCGACCTATTGGTGTGAAGGAATACACACATTTCAAAAATGAAAATATCCAGGAAAGTTAGAATTTGTATAAATCTCTGCAAGAGGTTCTCTGATTAATGCCTGCTAAAATCCGTATAATTGGTTACTCTATTATACAAACATATTGACATGCATATTCATATAAATACCAAATAANCATCAACTGAGCAAACACGTTTTTTCTAACTCAGTGTCAAAATCAAGAACTTCGGTGGACATGGAGTAATTTCTTCCAAGCATACTCTGTATTTATTTTCTTGCGAAGTCAGATTTCAAATGGATCTTTTTTTCAAGAAATATTAACAGACACTCCTGAAATTTTCGAAAGGCAAGAGCTGTTGAAATATAATGATTTATATATGTGTAAATCTTCGATGTAATGACGTGATTTGACACTATTCTTTGAAGCTCCTAAATGAAATATATACTATTACACACGGCCATATTTTTGGAGCAACTTATGAAAATCAAATTATCCAAGTGTTATATCATCCTCAGCTCCAGTAAATACATTCATTGGCACTAGCTCCCATCTACTGATGAGGTATTATAAACTTTTCTTTCTGAATATCAATTTTGATTGAATTATCGGGTGCTTGAAGTAAGAATAAAATATATCAATTCGACTGTGATACAACAAAATCCTGGAATAACATAGTCTATGGAATCCCTTAAGCTCTAATGATATATACACGTTGTTACGCAGTATTTTATGTCTGTTTGCAAACAGTACGTTTATGAATAATATTTCGATAGCAATTCTTGTGAGAGTCCTAACAAAAAAATTAAATTTTGTTATTTGAATGATGGCAGTGTTATAAGACATCAGATTAACCCGTAAGCGCTCAGGGTTAGCAAAATAGCGAGTGTAAGTAGAGTACAGTTCAATTTCGACACTGTGACATAAAAGGTGATGTGTATTTTACAGTATTAAGATTAATCTTGAACTTTTGATTTGTGTAACTTAATATTACATTGAAATTATTCAAATATGTTTATAGAAATTCAAAAAATAGACAAAGGATATTCATATTTTTCGTGGGGGTGTTTTATTTCTAAATATTACTAAATGATAATATCAAATGTCAGGCAGGTCAGTTTAGCCAATTCGGAAAGATATTACTTTCGCTTTTTCAGCTAGGAGTTGCAGAAATTGCATTTGTGTTATTCGAGTCTTTGTAGACATGGGACGAGCAAAAGATCTGATAGTATTATGGTTATGAGGATAGACTGCTTAGATAACTTTCTGTACTACTACATGACCCAAAAGTGGTGTATGAAGAAATGACTAATTTTATCAACATCTTTGTTTCGATTGGCTGTCTTACTGGGAGACCTACGTTACAGGAATTAAATTCAATGTGCCATGACCGATATTACATATATCAAGGCAATCAATACAATCGAAATTTGCAAAATAAGACACCGATCGACAAAATAAAATATCATTTGTCACATTTTTGAGCAGAATTGCTCTGCTGTGGAGAAAGTGGCAAAATATGATGGATAGCAGAATAATAACCAATTCAACAGAATATTACTTTGTCAATGCAATTTTCTGGGGTTTTTGCCGGTTTTTATGTCTGAATATCGAAAGAATTGGGAAGACCTTCGACCTCTAAAAATTCTGTAGCAGTCTATAGGATAACAGATCAAGGATGTTTTTCTGGTGTACATACTAGGTGTGATAAATGTGAAATACAACACACATTTCAATTATCAAACTATTTTTTAGTCCTATTCTGCTTCCATAGTTTTCAAAAAATGAGGCTGTCTATCACAATTCTTTATGTTTAAATGACACATCATTCGTGCCTAGCATTATCATACAATATCAGTTAATCTGCTTAAGAGAAATATTAAAACATTTTGTAATGTCAAATTATCCAAAATATCAAATCATAGCATAAACTAAGCTAATTCCCAAGTTTCCATATTTTTAGCGAAAATGTTCATCAGAGGCTTTCATTTTTATTAATGTTAATATTTTGATTAATTAATGATACTGGAAATACAAACCTTGGCAATTTTGTAATTCTTTATACGAGGGTTGCCTTTTATGTTTCGGGATTTGGCAACCCTAGTGTTGCAATCTGGTAACTGACAGCTCTATCATAAAGTTGGACATTTTTGAGCTTATACGTTCTCAGAAGGTTTCAACATACGCGCGCTATTTGTGTTGTTTACAGTAACTGTTTGAACGCTCTGCATTTTTGTTGAGTTTTCGATACGTTTTTTGTGACGAAAATGAACGTTTTATCGCATCAAATTTTTGACATTTTTTTGACGCGATTTTCGTGTAAATTTTGCATTATTTTTCGTAGCACGTTACAATGTAAATCATATGGGTCCTGCCGTGACGACGTGTCTGTCTGCCTGAATTATTTATGTCCACAGAAAATTCAAATCTCCCTCCACAATGATGCAGAAGCGTGCGCTCTGATTGNTTATAAATATACAATAATATAAATATAATAGAGAAATAAATATTGTCGGAAAACTACCAAATGAAAAGTGCTCTATTTTTCACAACACCTAGTAGCAATTTCAATAAAAACTTTCAGCTATCCTGTACGTTCAAATCAGAGCATCGATAGCAATTGTTTTGGAAAACACTCCAGCGATACACAACCCAATGATTTTTTGTCATATAAAAATTTCACCTAACTAGATTTTCATTAAGGTTAATGTACAGAACAGCCGATTCAAAATAGAGGAAACAGAAACATGTATTGATCTAAGAAAACGGGGTAGAAAGAAAAATATCTAAAATTAAAATCATCTGTTGACTCAGAATTATAAATCAACTCGTGAACTTTTGAGCAGTTGAACACTTGGAGAAAATTAAAGCCTTTATTCGAGACTCTTAGACCAATATATATTTCCATCACAATCTGTTCCATTTCATAAACGTACATCTTTACGTTAGTAATATCGAGATTATTACTTATCTTATACGATATAAATTGTAATTTAGTCCGGTTCATGTGTAAAAACAATACAAAATTTTTTATCAATGTTCAAACTTCCCAACTGTCTTTAGAGTATGTCCGGGAAATTACCTCCGATTCAGTTCAGATTTGATTGCTGCAAAAGATAAGGTTTTTGTCAATTCAACTATATTAAAATGTTCGTGTAGTTAGACTTACCATCTAGAATTTCTTGTTTCATTTTGGCGATTTCTTTCCTAACTTCTTTAACTATTTCAACTTTGAGACTTTCCAGCTCTGTTGGAGCAAGCGCAAGATTGCTAACCTCAGATAGGCCGTTAACTTTCAGAATCGTTTCCTCGGAAGCAGATCCGAACCTTTTTCTAACGCTCTTCGGCGATTCAGAGTTGAATTTGGAAGTATTACTAGGTAATGTGTTGGTCTTCTCCCAGATGGCTGCTTTTTTGTCTTCCTCTTCTTTATCTGGTACCTTCTTTTCAACCTAAAAAGTTCATTAGTGGTGACAGGATGATGTTCGAAATAAACTATCGATCTCAATGGAGCGACAACATATGCATTCTTGATAAAGAATTACTTAATATTTATTTTTAGAGTCTTAGTAATACCCAACCCTAAAACGGTAATACTAAACATGCTCAGTTGTTTTCTTGAAAGACAAGCTGTCTTTTGATTGGAGATGGTTTGGCGATATATTAGTTAACTACTCAATGAATATGAATGAATGTTTCATAAATGTATAAGAATTAGTTATTTCTATTTATAGATACCTGTTTTCAGACTATTTTAGATTAGAATGCTTCACTGTAATTTGGTTTGATTGTAGGTAATACTCTGATTAACAAGCGCCTTACAGGTCAAACTTTTCACTCAGCCTCCAAAAAATATTAATGAGGAGTCTTTCGTATCGGAATAGGGTGTGAATTATTTTAGAAAAAAATCAAGTGTCGATTGCAAAAGTTGCAAAATGGGGTTCGTCTTTTGCAAATGGCTCAAAAACTATGAAACATTTTTCAACTTTGAAAAATGATTCAAAAAGAAGAGAAAAGTTTATGAGATTTTTTTACATAAAAATTAAAAAAAAAACGAGTTTTTCATTAACAAATACCGTAAATGAATATTACTGGAGTTTTATCCCA